CTAGACAAGTAAAGATCCGATCAAAATTAAAGCTGGAACCCACAATCAAGACATCTCTTAAATATTCATTTGGCGAACAATATTAATTAATAAAAAGGAGAAATAGATAAAATTAATGCGAGAGCTTTATCCAAGAGATAAAATTGAAAACGTAACCGCAGTTTCCTAGTCTACACTCTTACTTGTTAAAATAAACACTGTTAGGCTCCAGCACGTTTCTCCGCCTCAATCGAGAAATAAATATCTCTCGAGTTTATTTAAAATACAATATTTAACACGCGAATTTTTTGATGAACTCAAGAATTACAATGCGTAATTTCAAGTCGTTAAGAACGATTGTTGCAACGGACCACTGACTCCAACGGAAGGGATTAAGTCGCTACAGTGGATTATGCTTTCAATAATATTCGCGAATCCGCCCGCTTTAGGGGGAAACAGCATCCTTGAATGCGCGAGTTGTACGTCGAGGAAGTAGCGAGCTGCATGGGAGTCGTTCCTTATTGGCGAAAGTACGCGACGATTATTACGATTATTTGTGTAAGTCAATCATGTACCTAACTAGCCAGTCCGTATCCCGACTCGGCCGTCACCCGGCCGAGGCTTTGTCGTACGAATTGCAGATGCAATCAACGTGACTGCGTTAATCTAGGCGAATCGTAAGGAGACGCGCGCCGCGCCTCCTCGGTCGCGCGACACGCGCTTCCGGCCAAGTGCATGATAACGTATACGATACCAGTCGCGCACAACCATTACCTGACAAACGTGTCGTGACCGAGATTGGCCGCCACCTCGCCATCGCGAAAGACGCAACGGAATTCGTAGTTGTGGCTACCAATCCCCATGCCGAGAGATCTTGCGAAGAACAGGCAGATTAAGGAATACTGGCAGAACTGCATTTCGTGTTATAACTTGCCAATTCCGATCTGCAATGTGCTCGTCGCGTTTTAGAAACATTCTGTTTTGTTAGCCAAATACGTTTAAAAAATGTGCGCACGCCGATAAATTGTACAGTCGTACACTGTCGAACATTTTTTAAGCCTCTTGATTTGCTTATACAAATAGAATGTTTCGAGACGCAAAGAGCACATTGTGAATCAGCCTTTAATTCAGCAATATACAGGGTGAGTCGTGAAGGCTGTCCCAACCTTTTACCATGAAAGGTGAATTAGGAAA